GATAGCCTAAGCACGACTAAGTCAGTGAGGATCTACTGGGTTCCCAGCCACCAAGGCATAGACGGTAACAAAACCGCGGACGAACTTGCAAAGGAAGGCGTTGGACTGGCGAGTGAAAGAACAGAAAACGTCCCTATCTCCCTAAGAACGCTCCAAAGCGAGCTAGAGAGACGGGCTGACGCAAGCGCAAAAAGCAGGTGGAGGAGTAATTCCGCAACCTGCAGAATATCAAAAATCATGTGCAAAGAACACAACGAGAAACTCACCCACCCACTACGTGCTGCATCTTCCGCGGAAGGACTGCAGAATGTTAGTGGGTATTCTTACAGGTCACTGCCTGTCTGCTGCACATGCAGTCAAGCTGGGTATTACCGACAACGCCAAATGCCGGAAATGTGATGAATTCGAGGCAATCGAAACCTTGGACCATCTCATTTGCAAATGTCCGGCCCTAACAAAGGCAAGAATGAGATACCTAGGCTCTCCAGTTCTGGCATCGCTAGAAGATGCCTCCAGGAGAAAGCCAGGCGAACTCCTTGCCTTTGCGAAAACCACCTTGATACTCAAGGATCTCGAAACCCGCATAAATAGTCTCTAGGTCCATCCAGGAGTGTCCCCGGATAGCTATGGGCCATATTGGCCTATGTGTGGCCCCTCGAGGGCCGTCCGGTCTAACCTAACCTAACCTAACAATAGTTTTAGATAACTTTCGCTATTATTTTTGGCATTCTAGCAAGAAGTCTTTGGCAAGTCAGTAATAGAAACTGAGACCAGGTTTTTTCAGCAAATCTTCAAGAATCTTCAAATATTTTAAATGTATAGGTTACAATTCGACGCTTAAAGTCTCCCCATACATTTTCGATTGGGTATAAGATCGGAAACTGTCTTTTCCAACCCATAACGGTTACTTTGTTGTCCCTAAACCAGGCCATGATGACTTTTGAGGTATGTTTTGGATCATTATCCTGTTGAAAAATCCATCAGAATGTTTCCCTTAGCATATGGTTGGAAGATGCCCGTTAAAAAGGTGGTGTTTTCAAATTCGGTCATAATACCATTTATGAGATGTATTTTTGCACAACGCCATGCCAAGAAAAACAGCCCCTGACCCTTATGCATCTGCCTCTGGGCTTAACTTTTTTTTCACGTCTCAAAGCTGAATTTTTATACCCTTGCAGGGTATTATAATTTCAGTCAGAAGTTTGGAACGCAGTGAAGGAGACGTTTCCGACCCTATAAAGTATATATATTCTTGATCAGCATCAACAGCCGAGTCGATTTAGCCATGTCCGTCTGTCCGTCTGTCCGTCCGTCTGTCCGTTTCTACGCAAACTAGTCCCTCAGTTTTAAAGCTATCTGAATGAAACTTTGCATATAGTCTTCTATATGCTCTCACTGCTATATATGTCGGAACGGGCCGGATCGGACGACTATATCATATAGCTGCCATACAAATGTTCGATAAATTTTTAGAAAAAAAAATTATAACATTGCTGTTTTTCAACATTTTTGCACCATTTTTTAGATATGACCATTTTATATTATTTCAGAATTTTAATAAAAATTTTATGAAAATCGGACGACTATATGATATAGCTGCCATAGGAACGATCAGGAAATTAATAGGAAAAAAAATTATAGCTTCGTTGTTTTTCAACGTATGTTTATCTACTCTGAGATATATACTTTTTTTATTATTCTAGAATTATGGTATACATTTTATAAAAATCGGACAACTATATCATATAGCTGCCATAAAGCGATCCGTAGATGTAGAGAAAATGTAAGGCTGGGAATGTAAGACTGTAACTGTCAAACTGTAAACATAATAAGTATAGGTAAAATGTTATGAAACTCTGTTTTGTGAGTGTTTTCAGCATTTAAATCTATAATATAAACATCAAAACCAATCTGCAAGGGTATACAAACTTCGGCGTGCCGAAGTTAGCTTCCTTTCTTGTTTTTACTTTGGGTTGTACAAAGCGTCTAGAATCGTTTTAAAAAATATATATTTTTGTTTCATTGCCCCAAAGTATTTTGTTTCCACTTTTTTGACCTCTCCGGTTTAAGCCATACCAAAAAAGTGTCGCAAAACTTTTTACTCATCTGAAATTTTTTTTTCGAAGTAGTAGAACCTCATGCAGTCTACGACAAACTGTTCGAGCTGAAATTTAAATGCCAAAGTCGGCGGGAATGGCCTTGGATGACCGAACAGGTCCTTTTTGGCAAGAGAGAGGTAACCATAATTAACTAGTTAAGTCAGTCTCTTTTCATAAACCTAAACTAAACATTGTGGGGAAACTTAAAACGTCGAATTGTAACCTACACATTTAAAATATTTGAAGATTAGTGAAGATTTGCTGAAAAAACCTGGTCTCAGTTTCTAGTACTGACTTGCTAAAGACTTCTTGCTAGAATGCCAAAAATAATAGCGAAAGTTATCTAAAACTAGTGTGGTTTTATTAGATACTTATCTAAGTTTACTTATAAGAAGAAAAAAATGCAAAATATCTAATACGTTCCGAGTTCTAGGCTTAGAAGAATGTGTGTACCTATTATTATGGCCAACCCATTTTCATGCTTTTTGGATAAAATTGATCCTTGTATCTAAATATGAAATGTAAAATCCTTTTGACAGTTATTCTTATTATCTGGAATAAGTACGGAAACTAAAAATATAGTTCGTTTTTTCATTAAGATTATTGAAAAAATTGTATAGGACTGCATGCACCTATTATTTTGTCTAGTAGTGTATATCGGATTAAAAGAGCAATAAATTTTAGCTTCTTAAATTTAATTAATTTATCTAAAGTTTTACCCGATCGTTTCTATGGGAGCTATATATATATATACTTTCCTTATCCGAACCCATTTCATACCGAGGGGATAAATAATGCCTAGCTAAACAATGCAGTATTTTTAATTCTTGTATTAACATTTATACTGAACAAAAAATCGTAATTATAAAAACAATGGAGTAATAAACAAAAACAAAGCAAAAATAATACTAAAAAACAAAAAATACATCGAACAAAAACGCAACAGCCAGTATTTTTTGAAATTTGTGATCAAGTTTGAGTCTTTTGGGAGTCCCTTATCTGATCAAAATGAACATAATTGCGCTCTTTTTCTGATCATAAATGATGCTACATTTGGGAAAAAATGGTATGCTAGCCGCGACACTAATAAATGAGTATCTTATAACCCTTTCATATAGAACCATAAGTAACCTCTAGTAATATTTCAATCTAAATTATTATAATAAACGACAGACATTCGAAAAAATATTTTAAAATCAAATTTCAATCGTTTTGGACTCATATTTATTATACAAAGTAACCCGCGTTGCCACTTGCTCCCCGGTGCGTCCATACAGGCGCTTTCGGCTGAGCGTTGCCTTTTGTTGGCAAGCGTCTCCTTCTCCTTGTTGGCGAATCCGGCCTTGTACTCCGCTTTAGCCTTCATCCCCTCGCTTGACCGCTTTGGCCCGTCCCTGGGCTGGGATCTGGTGCCTGGTTTCGGCAAGCGGAGAAGACTTTCTTCTCTTTGGAGAGCTGCACGCTCTCAAGGTCCGAGTCTGTATCGACTATGGCACGTGAGTGGCTTAACGTCCCCAAATGACATGACCTGCTCCAGTCACATCAGAGATGTAACCACTGGCGCCGGCGTGCCGCTGGTAGCGGTCACGTCTTCCACCGACGTTTGGGCTGACATCCCAGCTCCGATTTCTACTTCCGTACCTTCCAGAATGGTTTATTTTTCGGGGGCACCACCCACTTGCGTTTTATGCCTGCCACCAGGCACCTCCAGCCATGGCTTATGGACAAAAGGAATTGAACCGTAGCCTTTGCTAGACACTGTATTAACGCGGACGGAGCAAGCAGCGATGCGACATGTCAATGATCGAACTTCAATCACCTAGATGATTCGATTGCATAACATTTTATTATCGATATTTCATAAACATATTTTTAATCATTTCAACAACTCAAAAAAGTTGTATCTATGGTGATTATTGTTAAAATGATAAGTTAACAAGTTAACCATTTATATTTAAAGTCATATATTGGCTTCCATGATCCCGTTTGGTTTCCCACTATGTTGAATTTAACCCGTTTCCGTGGCAAAAATTAAAATTTTTGAAATTACCAAGATTTTTTACTTCAAGTTTCTTTTATAATGATAGTTATGACTTTAGAAAGGTATTTTAGAAAAGTGGGCGTGTTAACGCCTCCCTCCACCCACAGAAATTGGAAAAAAAAAAAACTAAAAATTAAAGCAATTACAGGATGAATGTCCTATTTCAAATGTGTCCTGCACATTTGCTCCATATAGCATTATAAATATAAAAGTTATTCAATAAGAAAAAGCTCTTCTACCTTTTGTATTGAATGTCATTTTTGGACGTCCAACGTTGGCTTCTTCTTAAGTTAAATTAAAGCGCATATAACCTTCCATCCAATTTGAATATGTCTTTTAAAACGTATCCACCTTTCTACAGCATTTTGGGCAATTTCGCCATAAATGGTATACTTGTCATGGGATAGCGATCGGCGACTGTTCGCTCGTTCAGCTTTTTGAAGTCTATTACTAATCGGTTCTTCCTGATGCCATTATCGTCAGACCCTTTTTTGTCAACCACCTAAGCAAGTCTGTTGTATGGAGATCTGGACGGCCTAATTATACCGTTATTAGGCAGTTCCTTGATTTCTTTGTTAACAAAATCTGCTGCTGTAGACGGGTTCCTAACTCATAGTTCGAATAGTAGCGATGACCGAGGTGTTAAAGGTAAGTGCTTTGTCAGAGGTCAAAAACACCTTCATTCTTTTCAGAATAATTTTTTTGAATTCGGCTTTCGCCGAACTTGGTACCACTATGTCATCCGTGTATAGAGCTCACAGTGAAGTCTCGACCGGCGTTTGGCTCGACGAACGGCAGTCGGGAGCGCTCCCGACAGTGTCACTGTCTTCCTCAATGTTGCCAACTTCAGCCTCAGCTGTGGCGGCGTAACCTGCCTCCTCCTGTTGGGGTTTGGCTATATTATTAACGCGTTGGCGTCTTTAATCCGATTTGACACTGAGACGAGTTCTGCCTTTTGTAATTGTTATTACTTTGTAGCTTCCCCCAGCTTGTTTTCTGTCTGAATTTGGCCGTCGAGGGGTCTACCTCCATTCTGGCCTATGGTTTCAAGATCCCTGCGCTTCGGCCAGAGGTTGTCCTTATTATGCTTGCCTTGGCCCTGCTTAGCAATGAAGTGCGGATTTTTATCCTCCCTTTCTATTGCTTTCCCTGGCCCTTACTATTGCGTCTATTGCCCTCGTTGAAATGGGACTTGTCTTCTATGGCTTCTGGGTAGGATGCCGCGAACGCACTTCTTTCAATGCTGTTCTCAGCCTCCCGCGCTAGCGCTAGTGCTGACGGAAGGTCTTTGGGTTGTGCTGGCAGCACCAATGATTTAAGTGGTCTTTTAAGCCCTGCAATGGATGCATGAGGGGCGTCGTCCCAAACCTCCTTATTCAGAATGGTTGCTGTGTCCGTATTATGTGACATAACTATCTTGTTGGTGACGAGCGGGAGTTTTCTTTCGACCTCGTCATAGTATGCTATAAGGTCGGCATCTCCTTGCCGAACCATTTTCAAATTTTGGCGTAGCACTCTTAGGGACGTTTTGTCCACGTAAGTGGGATCTAGCCTGGCTAGAATTGCATCGAAATTTAATATGATGTGGTGGGACGTGAGGAGTGTCTGAGCGGGACCGTAAATTTTGTTTTTTAAATATGCATCTGATGCAGACTGCCTCCATAATAATAGTATTTGTCGTGGCTTTCATTAAATGTTGGCAGAGATTTTACAATGTCTAATTTGACATCGCATTTTATTTCAGGGTTCGGTACTGCCCTTTTATAAACCTCAACCTTCGGCGCTAGCACCGAAAGCGCGCTAACCTGCGTTCTAACGGATTCTAACTCTGAGGCAAAGCCGCTTCTTAAACTCTCATCCTGGGCGGCAAGAGCGCTGCAGACAGCATTTGCGACAATCGTTTGAACCATATCCGCGTCCATATCTGGTTGGTCTATGTTCCTTATTCCGGTGCAGAATCAAAATACGGAGCGATCGGGGAGCAAGAAACAGGTATTGGTCAAGTCGACTGACTGTATTAGCACAGAGACACTGGTTTAATTTGGTACAAAATTTAATACAAGCGCAGGCACAGTGGATCAACTTGTAAAAAAGAACAAGGAAAAAAGTGAAGGCAACCTTTGTATGTATATAGAAACCAACACTAAGCATATAAAATGCTGTATGATTTATTTCTCTATTATATTTATTCATATCAAAATTGATTGCTTTGGCACCAGTGTGCGTTATGAGTTATTTGATTTTTTAAATTTTATCTTGCACTCCAAACATATCAAAAATCGAAAATCAAATCAACACCAACAATATGGAATATTTTTTAATTTAATTATTTGCATTATTTATTCAAATAAAAATGCCAGTAACTTGAGTTACTAAATTTATTTTTTTTTTTTGTCACGCACTCAAAAAAATCCAAAATTTTTAAACAAAAACCGAGTCACTTTATATTTTCATAAAATACCTATTGCTGGACATAGGAAATTGTACGCACTTGAGGTGTTTGTGTGTTTATTTATTTGCAGACCTTTAGCTATCGTTGGCGCTCAGCTACTTACATATTATTTTACTTCGGAGGTGGAGTTTGTATATAAAAAATATTTAATATTATTTATTTATATCAGCCAAGTCGAGGATGTCGAAAATATATCAAAATATCAATGCGAAAAAATAAATATTTTTATCGTGATATTTTTTTTGAAAAATTATCATATTTTATCGATATTTTTTTGAGATATTTTTTGATGTTTAAGGCGGTTACACTTTTTATCGGGACAAGGAAAGAAAACATGTTTTTGTTATCTTTCATATAAGATACTGTTAAAGCCTTAGTTCGGCGGAAAAAAATGAAACTGAACCTAAAACAAGAAAGGAAGCTAACTTCGGCACGCCGAAGTTTGTATAGTTCATTACATTTTACCTACACTTATTATGTTTACTGTTTGACAGTTACAGTTTTGCATTCCCAGCTTTACATTTTCTCTACGTCTACTGATCGTTTCTATGGCAGATATATGGCAGTTGTCCGATTTTCATAAAATGTATACCAAAATTCTGAAATAATAAAATAAGCCTATATCTCAGAGTAGATGAAAAAACGTTGAAAAACAACGAAGTTGTTTTCATAAAACATACCAAAATTCTGAAATATTATAAAATGGACATATTTAAAAAATGATGCAAAAATGTTGAAAAACAGTCAGGTTCGAATTTTTTTCTAAAAATTTATCGAACATTTGTATGGCAGCTATATGATATAGTCGTCCGATCCGGCCCGTTTCGAGTATATAGAAGACTTTATGCGGAGTTTCATTCAGATAGCTTTTAAACTGAGGGACTAGTTTGCGTAGAAACGGACAGACGGACGGACAGACGGACATTGCTCGATCGACTCGGCTGTTGATGCTGATCAAGAATATATATACTTTATAGGGTCGGAAAGGTCTCCTTTCTTGCGTTGGAAAACTTCTGACTGAAATTATAATACCCTGCAAGGGTATAATGAAAACGTTTGCTTTATTATTATTTAAGCATGTTTTTATTATCTTTCTATAAGATAAATTTTTGTTCTGATTTGATTTTAATATAAATAAAAGCAAAAGAAAGTAAAAATAAATATAGTTTTCTTTCATTTATTAATAAATATAAAATAAAAATCTAAAAATATAATTTAAGATCGTATGTGAGTTAATGTTTAGTGGTTATTGAAATTAAAAAAAAATAATAATAAAACAAAAATATCAAAAATATTTGATATATCGATATTTTTTTGATATATCAAATATCATTTTGATATTTAAAAAAAAAAAAAAAAATCATCGATACGATATTTTTAAATATTTCGACAACCCTATTAATCACTCTCTTCTTGTAAGGAAGCTTGACTTAATCGGGTTTCCTGTCGATCTTCTTAAATGGATTTTGAGTTATTTGAGTGACAGAACTCAAAAGGTTCTGTTTAAAAATGCTCTATCCAAATTCCTGAGAGTCACTTCTGGCGCCCCACAAGGTAGCCACCTCGGCCCGCTGCTATTTACATTGTTTATCAATGACCTCCCGCTTGTTCTAACGAACTCTAGAGTACTTATGTACGCTGATGACGTTAAACTATGCTTGCAGTATAAAGACAGCTCTTGCCAGTCAGACTTGCAATCGGATCTTAACAACTTTCAAGCATGATTTCGTGCTAATTTATTACAACTCAATAGCTCCGAATGCAAGCTGATGACATTTTCACGTGTCACTCCCCAGTTTGCCACTTATGATTGCGCTTTGAAAAGAATAACTCTTCTCTGAACATATTTCGGGCATAGTTAAGGGGGTCTTCTCATTCAAAACCCGTTGTTTTGACACCTTTTAAAAAAATTCCTATTTGAAAACGCAAAGAATAATTGAAAACTTTTTTATTTATTTATTTGTTGTGTTAAAAAAGGTTCAAAGTAAATAAAAAAATTGTTTTTGCCTCGATACGAGGGTTGTTCAAAGAGTAATAAGACTTCAAACTTGGTAGTGGAAAAAAAAGGTTTCGTCCTGGCGGCCACGATTCAGGGTCTCCAGAGCGTCCGAAATGAAAAAAAAAAACGGGGTTATAATCAGAATAGATGTCATTTTCGGGTGCCGGAACAGAAATTTCCATTTTGTTTCATGAAAATCGGTTCAGTTGAACTGGAGATATCATGGCCGCCAGTTCGAAAAACGTGGTTTCGAGATAAACGCGTTTGAAGTTTGAAAAAAGCTCATTTTGCGAAGACCTTGCTTCACAAAAAAGGCTGTATCTTCTAAAGTATTTCGAAAATCCTTTTGGGGACATATACACAACATCCCAAGCTAATAAATAAATGCAACAAAAAAAAATCGAAAAAAAGTTGCCCAATGAGAAGACCCCCTTAAGGGGGTATCCTGAATTAGGAGGCCAAAAATTAGTTGTTTTTCGCGATTTTTTTTGGAAGGTAAAGAAACGACCAAGCTTCTTGCAGGTTTTGGTATATTTTTATACATATTTAAAGTGCTTAAATAAATTAAAAAAAAATATATTTCAAAATGGCGGACTTATAAGTAGTTCACTGAAGCGCCTCGTCACAGCAGTCCCTAATTGGCGGGAAATGTGCAGCTCGTAATTCTTGTCTGAAACAAAAAATTCAAAAAAATTTTCAATTTTTATAAGTGCATTTTCTAGTTGAACTAAGAGAAACCGGAGAAAATCGTGAAATCGGAACTTTTATTCAGGTTTAAAAAAAATGTATTTTTCGGGATAAAATATTGACTTTAACATGCTGTAAAAAATATAAAAAAGCGGTTTTCAACAACCGGTTTAGATCAACTAGAAGAGAATTTAATTCTAAAGAGAATAAGCCTTTATTCGTTTCAATCGGTCAATAAGTTTTTTTGTTATCTTTCCCGCCAATTCGAAAGAATCGTAAAAATGAAAAGTGGAGAAAACGCGCTTCAAAGTTCACCCAAGCGCTCGCAAACCTGCTCGGCGCTCCTTTGCTTTCATCTCTATCTTCGAAAATACTTCGAATTGGCTTCTGAAATTTTTGTGGTATATTCTTAGATAGTTTATCTATCGTTTTTTTTTGTCCTTGTAATTCAGGATACCCCCTTAATTAAGCCAGAGGCATGATCGGTTTTATTAAGAGGTGGTCAAAGGAGTTCGATTCCCCTTATATGTATAACGAAGACCCTTTTTACTTTGTTAGTACGCCCTGTATTGGAGTATGGTTCATGCGTCTGGAGTCCTTAATGCAGAGTCCATATTAACCTTATTGAATCTGTACAAAAGAACTTTTTACTTTTCGCCCGGTGATGTTGAGAGCCCCTATCTTTTAGGGCAGCTCAATTTCCACGTTCCTCGACTAACATCTAGAACCCATATCCCATTAGTAACAAATCGCTGTAGGCGGGAGTTTGAAGTATATGAACCCTTTAGGGTTTTATGTTCGGATTACAACCGCCTCTCTGATATTATTATTCGTAGTGATAACCCTCCAATACTAAAAACTTTAATAGAATTAACTCGCAGTGTAGTACCGTAATCTAGTTTTGCATGATTTTTTTTTTTTTTTTTCATTTTTGAATCATTTTTGAATTTTTTGTTTTAGTCGATTTTTACGTCCTGCAGAACGGTCGCCAGAGGGGTTCCTTTTTTGGGCATGGGCTTACGTCGCACGCAGCTCGACGCAGCCGATGAAAGTTAATTCTGGCCCTCGAGGGGCCACACATAGGCCAATATGGCCCTAGCTATCCCGGGAAATTTCCTGGATGGACCTAGAGACTATTTATGCGGTTTTCGAGATCCTTGAATATCAAGGTGTTTTTCGCAAACGCAAGGAGTCCGCCTGGCTTCCTCCTGGAGGCATCTCCTAGCGATGCCAGAACTGGAGCTCTCCATTCTCTCTCCATATTTCATTCTTGCCCTCGTTAGGCCCGGACATTTGCAAATGAGATGCTCCAAGGTTTCGGTTGCCTCGGATTCATCACATATCCGGCATTTGGCGTTGTCGGTAATACCCAGCTTGACTGCATGTGGAGCAAACAGGCAGTGACCTATTAGAATACCCACTAACATTCTGCAGTCCTTCCGCGGAAGATGCAGCACGTAGTGAGTGAGTTTCTCGTTGTGCTCTTTGCACATGTTTTTTTATATTCTGCAGGTTGCGGAATTACTCCTCCACCTGCTTTTTGCGCTTGCGTCAGTCCGTCTCTCTAGCTCGCTTTGGAGCGTTCTTAGGGAGACAGGGACGTTTTCTGCTCTTTCGCTCGCCAGTCTGACGCCTTCCTTTGCAAGTTCGTCCGCGGTCTCGTTACCGTCTATGCCTTGGTGGCTGGGAACCCAGTCGATCCTCACTGACTTAGTCGTACTCAGTCTATCTAGTGACTCCCTGCTTGCCAGTACATTTTTGGAATTGACCGCTGATGATTGATCTTATCGCCGCTTGACTGTCTACGTCCAAACGGTTTATGCTCTGCGCAAGCTCTGCTGCTTTCCTGATGGC